CGGTGGAAGTAACAATTTTTAAAAAAAGCGTGGTGTGCAATATAGTGAAATGAAAAGTGTAAAATTATACAGCAATGATGCAGAATGGCATCTGCTATAGAGGACTACAAATCCCACTATCCCAGCAATACATTATAGAGCACCATGTGTGGGAAAGTGCAGGCTTACCTGAGCAGTCTTCCAGCAACTTGTTTCTGAGATCAGGCCTGTCTATCGGTGGCTGTCATCCGCCCACACCTTCTTCTCCTTACTTCTTCTCCCCGCGTCCCTGTGCCGATCGTGGATGTGGGCAGGCGGTGAGCGTGAGGCGGGGAGGAGGTGCGGCCTGTGGATGCAGCTGGGCGGGTCTGGCAGTGGCGAGCGTGAGGTGTGGCGCGCAGCGTGTGTGGACCTGTGACAGGGCCAACCAATCGGAAGCCGATTAATCGATGATTGAAAAAGTTGACAACTTTTTCTATAATCGATTATGTCGATTAGTTGTTGCAGCCCTAGTAACACTGCATTTGGATATTTTATATTAAATTAAAGATGGTATTTATTTAATTGCTTTATCCGATTAAAAAAAATATTAAAAAAAAAAAATCGGCCAACTAATTGATTATTAAAATCATTTATTAGTTGCAGCCCTAGTTATTGTTGCATCCAAACAGATTTATACATCATTTTTTGTATGATATTATTTAATGCATTCATCCAATTAAAAGTAGAAACAGAAACTCCTTGATTTACACACTTCAAAGGGGAACTACCCTCATCCAATGCATAAACATATCCCAAAATTATTATTAAAGTATATGCACACTAACAAGTCGGCGCTATATAAATACCTGCAATAAATAAAGAACTTTTTTTTTGCTCCCTTTGGTATGTAAATATGTTATATATACCATTGAAAGTGTTTTGTTATATCTACTCCATAAGCAAAAAAAAAATCCTTTGGATACTTTCAGCACTGTCTTGTGTCCTGCATAATAGAAGTCAGCAACACTCAATGATATGTGCAAGAAGTAAAGCACTTTTTATTAAATCGTCACATGCGTCAAACAGCCAGCGTTTCGGGGCCACGCAGGGTCCCTTCTTCTGGGCGACATAGTGGCGTCACTATGTCAAGCATAACTTGCATAGCTTCAGCCAGGGAATGACAGCTGCCAGTGGCAAGATTCCACAGACGGCAGCTGAATGTAAATACAGCAGGTATTGGGCGAGTGCAATAGCCAGCCTGCTATTGGCCATTTCAAATTGCAATAGCCAAAAGCAGGTTGGCTATTGCACCTGCCCACTGCTTGCTGTGTCCACCTCCCAGCATGAAGGAGAGAGTTAGGGGATCCAACCAACTAATCGATAATGAGAAATGTTGACAACTATTCTCATTATCGATTAGTTAGTTGCAGCCCTAGATGTGGTGGCTGCATTAGTTTTTTTTTTAGTCTTATTTTCACCTGGTGATCTGGCCAGTGACACACTTCCTGTCTTAGGATGACTCCACTCTATCAAGGAGTATCAGAGCCACCCTTAAGCAACAGCATTGTCACCCTGTGGAGAGAGTAGTGTTCGATGTACAGATTTAGATGGACTTGACTAACAAATTAAACCTGAACTCCAGCTAACACTTTTTAACAACTTGCAGCAACTGTTTTATTGTTTACCTTTTGGGATAACCAAATAAAAGTTGATCATTGTAAGCAATCCATGTCAGTGTTAAATAGTTTGTCTAAACCCTCTATAGGCACTTTTGCTGGACAGGTTTGGTCTGTTGAAGGAAATTTAAAAGTAACACTTACCGGGCCAGATCACCAAGTGAAATCAAAGGAAAAAAGAAAACGATTGCAGCTACCACATCTAAGAATTGGTGAGCTGCAATACATTACATTTTTGCCTTTGGGTTTAGATCTGGTTTAATACTTTCAGGTATGGAGCAGGCTTGTAACTCTCCCCTGCGTGAGCTCCGACCCAGACTTTACACAAAAATTGCTTTCAAACTTGCTTTAAAAAGCCCATCCTGCTCTGAAATTCTTGTCTCTAGGTCACACTCTTTATTAAATGTTTATTCACATACATCCTCGATGGCATGTACCATGGAAGAGATGAATTATAAATGACTTACCCGTTGGTACCTCTCTCCGTCTAGAATGCATGAGATGTATGGTGATTTTTCCCCCTTGTGCTGGAGGGGATGTGGACAAAGGGGAACTATGGCGCATATATGGTGGACTTGCCCCATTATCCAGGGATATCGGGGTCAGGGGAGGACTTATGTTGAAAAAATGATGGGTTCTCATATTAAAGATGATGATCCATGGGGTATGTTATTTCATTGCACAATAGAGTCTGCAGCGAAATATAGATGTTTATTGACCCCTCATCTACTTAAAAGGAGAATTATGAGGCAAGTGATAATAATAATAATCTGAGCATAATCTGAGCCGACCTGTGACAATGAAACTGTCACAGGTCGGCTCAGTAGATCGGGAAGTGAGCGAACACATACCGGCGCTCGCTCACTTCTCGATCAGTGCAGAGAGCCGTGACTGTCACTCACAGCTCCCTGCAGGGATTTCCCCCTTGTCCGATCCTCCAGCGCTGACTGGCAGAACGGACGGGGGAGGGGGCGGGTACAACTGGCTCTGCCTCTAGATAGGCAGAGCCAGCTGTCACTCACGCAGCTGGGTGGATCCAGACAGAAGTGTCAGGATCCGTTCCGGCTGCGGTGTCTCAGCTGCGGCTCGCGGTATACTGAGCTTTTGGTTACGGGAGGACGCTAGTTTGCAAAAAACGCCCATAGGCGACGCATAAACCGCTTTTACTGCTTATCAGTGATTAATGGCCCTAAAATTATTGCTCTCACTCTGACGTTTGCGGCCATATGTAACATGTGCGGCACAATAGTTGTTTCCGCACGTAGGCGCACCTGACGCATATATGAGTCTGTATGTGGGGGGCGGGGGTAAAATGGTTTTCTTAAATTTTTTTTTAACACTGAATGCAGGAAGTGATGTAATACACATCACTTCCTGCATTCAGGGACTGAAAGGAGGTCAAAGGGAGTTCGTATACTGAACTCAAACTATGTTATAAAACATTTATACCCATATTTTTGGTAAAACATAAAAGTCGGGGTGACGTCGGGTAAATAGACACCAAACATGTCAAGCCTTAAAATTGCGTGCGCCCGCAAAATACGCCCATAGGCAACGCTTTAAATGCTTTTACTGCTCATCGGTTTAGTGTTATCAGTGATTGATGGCCCTAAAATTATTGCTCTCACTCCCACGTTTGCGGCGATATGTAACATGTGAGGCACAATAGGCACAATCGGCGTTTTCGCACCCGACGCATATCTGAGTGTGTATGTGGGGGGCGGGTGACTTAAAAAAATTGTTTTCTTTTTTAATGCTTTACTTTTTTTTTATGATTCTTTAATTTTTGTATTACTTTTTTGACACACAACTTTATTGCTATTACATCGGGGGCTAAGAAGCCCCCTATATAATAGCCAATTTACATGACAGGTCCTCTTTATGGAGACACCAGGGGTCTCCAAGACCCCCAATGTCACCTAGGGACTCCCAGAGAAGCTGATGAAGCAGAGATCTGCTTCATAAGCTTCTGTAGCTGGAGAGTGACACTGAATGCAGGAAGTGATGTAATATACATCACTTCCTGCATTCGGGGACTGAGAGGAGATCAAAGGGAGTTCGTATACTGAACTCCCTTTGATCTTCTGTCATCGGGCACAGCAGATCTCGGGATCGGCAGCTGCTGATACAAGCGATCGAGCGTCTATAGAGACGCTCGATCGCTTGAATGTAAAGCTCCCGGCCGGCCGTGTAATTACAATGGCCGGCCGGGAAGCTGCTCGTCGGGCTCCACCGTCCTCTCGTCACAGACGAGTGGACGAGTGGATTTTTCAAGCCCTGTATATATGTATATGTATGTGGGGACAGTTAAGCTAAACTAGATGGATTTAAGGAATGTTTTCAAGGAAGTATTCCATTGTTTAGTAGAAGAATAAAAATAAGTTATGTAATAATGTAATAATATTTATTTAAATGTATTTATCAAGCGGAAATGTCTATGTTGGATATGCTGTGCAGATGGAAGGCTTTTTGTATTAATATGTAAAAACTTTAAAGAATATAAAAAATAAAAATGTTTATTTGTAAAAAGAATGTGTGCATACAGTTTATCAGATGCCATAATCCTTAAAGGAGAACTATGAGGTGAGTGCCTTTCACTCACCTCATAGTTCTAGCCGACCTGTGACAATGAGACTGTCACAGGTCGGCTTAGTAGATCGGGAGGTGAGCCAACACATACCGGCGTTCGCTCTCCTCTCGATCCTGTCACGGTGACAGGGGAGGAGCTGGATTCCCCCCTCCCCGCTCTGCCAGCGCTGACTGGCGGAACGGACAGGGGAGGGGGCGGGTACAGCTGGCTCTGCCTCTAGATACGCAGAGCCAGCTGTCACTCACGCTTTGTGTCCTCCCGTTACCCCAAGGAGCACTATGGGGAAAAGCCTTAACCCCATCGTTCTCCTTTAACAGTTGAATCAAGCGGGAAAAGGAGATCTAGCATCCCCTTGCAGAATCTTATTTACGCAAGAACAAGTATAGCATACAACATTCTGAGCGTTTCTTTCCTCAATTTAAGTCAGCATATTTTTAATCACTGTCATTTATCGATTAAAAAACATATATTCGCTCAACAGAAACTTTTCTGTTAAAGAAGAACTCCTGCACTACCCCCACACAGCAAGGGATTAGTGCTCCTTTTGGTCTTTTGCCGGTTGTGGGGATTGGGTGAGTAGAACTTTGTTATTTTCCTCCCTAGATCAAAACGAGCCCCAGTGCAGTGGGGTTAACCATGCACTGCAAGGGTTAACAGTAACTTTCCCCGGAGTTCTGCTTTAAAGCTGTCCTTGAAAAGCTTACACACACACAATATAAATATAGCTGATAAGACAGTAAATTACAAGTAATGATAATCTGAATCAAAGATACCTGATTACTCTATGTAAAAGGAATATCGTTCTCTTGCTTTCAGTTGTTATGTCTCTGCTGTACTTCACAATCCGCTCATACTTGTCATGCCTTGCATCCAGTTCATGCTGAAAAGCTGGAAAAAATGAAAAAAGTATTTAAAGAAAGTAAAATCAGACTTTGACCTGAGAAACACAACAACACAAGAGGCAAACTGAAACAAAAATGAGGCTTTTATTGTTGTCTGGATATACACTGAGTGGCCAGATTATTATGACCACCTGACGTTTGTAGGCAAATTAGCTATAATTAGCTATAATTTTGCGCTGAAGTTGCTAGAGGGTCACACCATTATAAATAGGGAAGCAGGTTGTTTACCACGACAGTAGAAGTGATTTTTTCTGAAGATATGGGTAAACAATGCGATTTAACAGCCTTTGAACGTGGGATGATTGTTGGCGCTAGGAGCCATGGAGCGAGTATTAGCAAAACAGCAGAATTCGATAAATGTTCAGGAGCGGCTCATTGTTAAAGTGTTTAAAGACTGGACTGTCCGCCGAAAATCTGGGTCTGAACGTGCGAATTGTGGCCGTCAGCGACTAGTCAATGTTAGGGCAGAACGGAGAGTGGCAAGACTGGTACAAGACAACAGAAGGGCAACAGTGCAGTGTCAGATTCCTCGCATCACCTTTCAACATCTCGTGCAGTCACGAGGCGGCCCAACAAAGTAATCTCGTGGCCCAACGAAGTACTGATGGGGTGGTCATAATAATCTGGCCACTCAGTGTAGACTCAGATGATATCTCTTTGCTTCTTGTTCTTATGCAGACAAGAGATACCTGATCCTTCCCCACTCTACTGTTAACTTACCAAATCAAAGCATCTCAAGTGACAACAGCCTAATAAGTCACCACCAATATAAGTCACAGTTACTAAGAACGACAAAAGGAAAAACAAAAGATCGCTACAACCAGGAGGGAAATCCTATGATAGGAAAAGAAAAATTACTCACTTGGATGTCTCATCCAAGTGATTAATTTTTTTTGACCATGACATTGTTCATCAGAAACTTTCGCTGTACTGCTGCCAATAGTCCTATCATAGGACTTCCCTCCTGGTTGTAGCGCTCCTTTGATTGTCCTTTTGTCGCTTTATCGCGCAGGACTTCCCGTCCTGGTCAAGGAGACAGCACACCAATCACATATATTTATCTCCCATCACCAGTAGTGCGCTTAAACAATTTCTTCCAGTACAGTTACTAAGAGGACCATGTATTCTAGGACATCTGGGACTACTTCCCATCCAGTAATTTTAGTGCCTGAAAGGCTCAAGCTAAAGGCACAGACCTCCTGGAAATGCAGAAGATAATGCCTTGAATACAGGGGAAATAGTCACAGATACTATCCTACTGACTGGCCACTAGACTTACGCACATACAATCTTCTACAAGCTGGCCTCAGAAAGTATTCTTTTATTTAAAGAGTAGTGGATACTTGGAACACACTTTAGGTCTCATTTACATAGGGCATGTTGATCAATACAGCGTGAAGGGCCAGTTTTTGATGGGAAGAACAGGAAGAAGTGTGTGGGCAACTCATGTATCTCTATGCAGACGCAGGAACTGTGTGCCTTCACACAAGACTTCCTGCAGCTCTGTGCGCCGAGTTTAGACAGACGCACAACGACATGATGGATCCAGGTCCGTACACCTCCTGTTTGTGGCTGTAAAAACTTGGAGCTGTGGGAAGCAGCATATGAGGGTGCACCGCTCCTGGGTCTCCATAGAGTTACATAAGCTGTTCACACACTTCTTCCCACAGCTCCCGCTCCAACAAGAAGAATCCCAGATCCTTCCGGACAGCTGCACCCGTTGAGCCTGTACAAAGCAATGAAAGGCTGACAGCAGCCACAGCTGTCCACCCATGTTCAGATGTAACTATGCATGGAGCGATTCCCTTTGGTCATCCAGGGGCAATCATCTGTCTAAAACTGGAGGTAATCGCTCTATGTGTGGTTACATCTGAACATGGGTGGACAGCTGCAGCCGCTGTCAGGCTCTCATTGCTTTGTACAGGACGAGTGGCTGCAGCTGCCAGAATCATCTGTTATTCTTCCAGCATGAATTTGCAGGAGCTGCGGGAAGAAGTGCGTGGGCAGCTCATGTAACTCTATGGAGACCCTAAAACGCTGCTTCCCAGCTCCAAGTTTTTACAGGCACACACAGATGGTGTACAGACCCGGATCCATCATGTCTGCGTTCCAGGCTGCACACCATCCGAGTCAAAACTCAGAGCTGCGGAGAGCAGTGTCTGAGGACACAGAGTTCCTGCATCTAAAAAGTGAAACAAAATTCTGGCTGAATGTAAAAATCTAGTGGACAAATAATGTGCCAAAAATATACTTACATTTAAAAGCAAGTATCACTGGGGATGAAGAGTCAACAGCACCTCCTTTCCCATCTTTTCTCTGAGGTGGTTTAAAGTCATGTTTGTATCTTTTAAATGTTCCGGATCCTAAGTGAAGGAAAATGCTTTATTTGACAATTTAGAAATAAAATGATATGACAAAAGGAGCTAGGTCCAGAAAAATATTGTCATCTGATGTCAAAATACTGTTAATACATGTAAAAATAGTAGTCACTATTTTTGTTTCTTTATTCACATGCTTTTATTATATTACACATTTACCTGCAGGCTCCTCATTGGTAGTCAGTGGAAAGGCGCCCCCTTTCATCGGTAGTCAGTGGAAAGGCGCCCCCTTTCATCGGTAGTCAGTGGAAAGGCGCCCCCTTTCATCGGTAGTCAGTGGAAAGGCGCCCCCTTTCATCGGTAGTCAGTGGAAAGGCACCTTCTTTCATCGGAAGTCAGCCAATTACATTACATTGGTGGTAAGTGGGAACGACGACTCCCCTTAGACCAAGCTCACACTCAGCATATTGTCACAGCTAAATATGCATGACAAATTGCTTCACAAAAGAAAATCCCAATCATTCTTATGGCCCCTGTTCACACCTGAGTGTTTTGTCGCAATGAGCAATAGACCTGTCGCTGGTCCTGGGCTCCGCTGTGCTTGGTGCAAGCCCGGGAACAGCATGGTGGCTCTGTGACAGAGGATCAGAGGGAGATCGGTACACGATCTCCCTCCGGTCCCCTCTCCGGTGTCAGAATGTGGAAGTAATGTATATTACATCACTTCCGCATTCTGCTGTCACTCTCCAGCTTCAGACGCTGGAGAGCAGAGGGACGAGCGGGACAGCGGCAGGGGGGTTCCCGCACACACCGGCACCTTATACAAGCGATCCGCCGGCTATATAGCCGGCGGATCGCTTGTATGTTAACAGGCATCGCTGCCCGTTTTTAAATTTGGGCAGGTTACCGCTCGCTCGCGAGTGGGCATGGCTGACGGGATGTTTAAATACGCCCGCTCAGATCTAGGAAGCTCCCGACTGGCCGTATTTTCACAACGGCCAGCCAGGAGGCGGTTAAAGAACTATGAGGGGAGTGATTTCAACTCATCCTTATAGTTAGAGCCAACGTGTGACAAAGAAGCTGTAACAGGTCGGCTCTATTGATCGGGAAGTGAGCAAAAACATATCGTTGCTCGCTCACTTCCCAATCATCTCCCTGCAGGGAGCGGTGACTGTAGTCACCGCTCCCCACAGGAATTCCCCCCCTCCCCTCTCCGATCCTCCAGCGTTGAGTGGAGGAAAGGACAGGGAGGGGGCGGGCACAGCTGGCTCTGCCTCTAGCTGGCAGAGCCAGCTGTCACTCACGCAGCTGGGTGGATCTCTGTAGTATTGTTGGGATCCATCCCGGCTGCGGCATTCTCAGTATAGCGTGGGCTTTTGGTCACGGAGGAAGTTAGTATATGTCCTACCGTGACCCTAAAGAGAACTATGGGGGAAAACACTTACCTCATAGTTCTCATTTAAGTCTAAGGGTAGAGAAATAACCCCCAGAATAGCAGACTAGGGCCCTTGACCCCAGAAACAGCAGACTACCCCAGGAACTCCAGAACCGGCAGACAACCCCAAAAAAAGTCATCAGCCCTCCGAACAGTGGAAAACCCCCAGAACAGTGGACAACCCTGGGATTGGCCGATGACCCCAGAAAAGGTGGACAACCCAGGGACCAGTAAAAACACAGCAGTCTCACCTTCCTTCTCGCTCATGTCTTCTGTACAGCACGGCCTTTCTCTGAGGCCCGGGCACACTGCTCTCCAGGGGTAGCAGATCGAGGGAAATTAAGATATTGTCACAGTTCCAAGCGAGAACACGAGACCTCATATATATGACACGTTTCCAAACACAGATCGTGGTCTTGTCATTAGACGCGGTGCACAGTTTACATCCGGTTAGACCCTCAATGCATCATGGGAACTGTGGTCTCTTCGGCAATACGGCTTATTGTGAGCTAGATTTTTAGTGAGCTATCGCCCCCCAGTGGTTTATTCGGGTAATGCACCAACTCTTTGTTCTCAATGGCTGCTTTCTGTGCATTTCACTGACCAATACACGTTGGGGGAAATTAATAAAACTTTGTCTCACCTTGAGGTCAGCCATTAATTTAAACATTTTTCATTTCGTGAGCTATGTAAAAAAAAATTAAAGAAAGAAGCTGATTTGTTGCTGTGGACAACAACAGCAGCAGTTGAGATGAAACTTGTCTCAGACACTTTTCATTAATTCCCCCCTTATGTCTGCTGCTGGTACAATTTTTATTACTCACCATCACACCTTACCTGAGACAGGGACAGTATGTGAATAATACCTTAGATTATTTCATAGCTCCCTCTTAAAGCCAATTCCAGATTGGGTGTCAGCACTCCCCCCACCCTATGAAGCCTTACCCCTGCATTACATTATTTAAAGATTATTAGTATTCCCAGGGCTGTCCCTATGGCTTTTGCCTCTTGAGGTGTTGTCGGTCCTGGCGGGGGGAGGGTGGTGCACTGACAGGGTACACTTGTCCTGCCCCGGAGAGGTGGGGACCGTGAGGTAGGAGAAATTGTGGGACAGCGGCTCTGTCTGGCGTCTGTCAGTAGCTCTATCTAGCATCCTGTCCAGCTCACTTATGTCACTGGTTACCAGGGGCTCGGCGGGTCACTGGTTACCAGGGGCAACCTGGGTCACTGTGGCGGCCCCACCACCACCACCCAGATGCCCCCCAATGAGGTGCCGCCTCTGGCTGCCTTATTAAAGGAATGGACCTGCACATAACTTTTTCCAGGTATCTTCTGGCCCGGTGGTCACGTGTTAAGCTGGGTCCTCTTCTCCAACTGTGTACTGGGCCTAAACTCTGCAGAGAATAGCACTCACAATATGACTTCAGCACCATTCTCAGCAAACCCCTGAGGGGTGTGTCCATGACGCCCTGGCCTCACAGGAAGTGGGTTGACTGATGCAGGGTAAAGAAGACCCACAGGGCTGGATGCAGTGAAGTGTCTGCAGGGGACAGTGCCAGAGAGAAGGTGAGTATTGCATTTTCTGTTTTATAAATGTGTTTATTGTTATCAATGGCACAGGATAACATTGTATAGGTGGTTTAATATAAAGTGATACATATTACCATATTTTGAGAGTCATGTTTGCAAGCAGTTTGATGAAGCAATACATTTTGGAGGAGTCATATTGTCTTAATCTGGCCATTGACGGCTTAAATTCAAGCCACTGCTGATCCTGTCAGCCCCCCTTGGCTCGACAAATAGAAATCAACTGAGCCGGGTGGACAATTTCCAGCCAAACAATTACTGCAAACTATCAGATGTAGGCTCGGCAGCACCACTGTACTCAGGCGGATGAATACAATAGCCAGCAGTGGAGATGACTCCATTCATGCTGTGATGTGACTTGTTCTAATGAACCGGCAGGTGAATCATCTCAGTGAATGTGCTTTATGAATGTGGTAAATGATTTACAAACAAATGTAAAGTGAATGTCTACAAAATATACCCGTATGGTATCAATTATTCTTGGCCATTTGACAACATCTGTTCTTCCATAAGACACTGTACTTACTGTAACATTTACCCTATGTGAAAAGAGGTGAATGTTCCCTGCACATTACCCCCATTCCTTCAACCTATTTTTCTCTAAATTTGCACGGTGGAGCTGTCACATCATTTCATTTTCTATTTTTTTGCACTAGTATTGTCACAATGTCCCATTTGTTGCCCATAAATGGTCACGGTTGCCCATTTTGTGCAGCACATATTGTCACAATTGCCTGTTTGTTGCCCATATATTGCAATGGCTACCTGTTAGTTAACTCCAAATCCTACACCCCTATGTTTGCCATATATTGTCACCATTGCCCATTTGTTGCCTATTTATTATCACTGTTACCCATTTGCTGCCCATATAGTATCATGGCTGCCCAATTGGTTACATATTTTCATGTCTTCTCATGATTACCAATTTTTCGCCCACTTATTGCGACCAGCATGTCCAGATATTCTTACAGTTGTCAAAGTGTTACCAAATATTGCTACAATTGCCAGTGTGCTGCTCACATATCACCATAATTACCAGTGTGTTGCCTGTGTATTGCACATTTCATTATATATTACCACAGTATAGTGCTATGGAGCCATCTATGTTAATGTGTGATCAAGTCAGTGCCATTTGTTTGGAGGATACATATTACTATCATTTAAACTGAGACTAAACTCAGTTAAGTAAAATCTTAAAAATGCATTCAAGCACCTTAACTATTAAGAAAAATGTATCTTATTTCTGCATCACTCAGTTGTAGATCCTCAAATCATCTCTGAATTGGTGCTGACACTGTCCTTCCTTCTTGAGGGTGGCTACTTTTGTTCCCCATGGCCCTTGTGTGTGTTGTAAAGTGGCCAAAGCTCCAAGCTCAACCCTGTGATGGACTACAATCTCATGTTTAGTTTACTCATTTGTACTCAGATTGTAGTCCATCACGGGAGTGAGCTTGGAGCGGTGGCTACTTTACAACAACATGGGATTCTCTATATGAATGGTTTCTAAGTGTGCGTCCAAATCATCTATGATTCCTATTTAGGACTACATCAGATTTTCAAACCTTTAAGTATAAATTTCCTATTAACAATACAATGAGTTTACTGCAAAAATATCACAATTAACAAAAACAAATAGAAGCCACTCCCTCCCTAGAAATTCTCAATGCCATGTATTACCCAAAATCCTTTTTTATAAGAAAAAAATTTACCTAGGTAAATGAACCCCTTATTAAAGAAACTCCACTAATGTAGGGCTCATGATATCAAAAAGACATTTCTAAGTGTGTGTGTGTGTGTGTGTATTAGCTAATAGCTAATATGTATAATTTTTTCTTTATATCTTTTTTTCCACTTTATTTATAGTTTAACTTCACTGTTTTTTTAAAAATAGTATTTGTATTGTCAAATGGGAGCCGATATTACCCTCATGTAACAGTATGTAAGTGATCCTATTACAATTTCCCATAGTTCTGTAAGGAATTCAGTTGGAGATTAGTTGACCATAAGGTCATCAGATCATTCCCAGGGGGTGACTTTCCACTGCTAACAGCTGCCACCTGAAACTGCACCACCACTTCACTATTACTACCATAGGACTGTCAAATACTGGTGAAAGGAGATATCTGAGGTCCAAACAGATCTTACAGTAACACTAAAATCCCAACAGATCTTACAGTAACACTAAAATCCTCAGTTCGATCTTAAAAAAGCATTCAAGTACATTAACTATTAACAGAAATGTATCTTATTTGTGTACCACTCAGCTGTAGATCCTCAAATCATCTCTGAATTCATGCTGACACTGTCCTTCATTCTGGAGGGTGGCTACTTTAGTTCCATATGGTTTCTGTGTGTGTTGTAAAGTAGCCAGCGCTCCAAGCTCACTTCAATACAAATGAGCTAACTAAACTTGAGATTGTAGTCTATCACAGGAGCGGGTTTGGAGCGATGGCTACTTTACACACACAGGGACCATGGGTAACAAAAGTAGCCACCCTCCAGAAGGAAGGACAGTGTCAGCACCAATTCAGAGATGATTTGAGGATCTATAGCCAAGTGATACTGAACATAAATGAGGTAAATGTTTGTTCATAGTTCTTGAATGCATTTTTCGGGTCTAACTCATGATTTTTAAAGTCACTTTAAGGTCTCTGTTCTACTGGAAATCGGTGTCTCTAACTGCTCTCCGAGGCACTTTGACATTAGATGTAAGCTCAGAAGTGCTTAGTGCTAACTACTTCCTAACTACTTCCTAGTTTGGAGTCTTGAAGCCACACTGATCTCTGCTGTTACATGGACATAATTGGCCAGAGTATAACCATTAATCTTAGATTGACTCAAGACCCGGGACATACTGGAGCATACACCACCGAGCAGATGAGCCATTGTTGTGACTGGTGGCATAGTGTTAACTCTATAGAGGCACTGTGGGGGCACTTCTGGAACATTTGCTTTATGGTGATGCAATTTAGTTGTGAATTTGATCGGCAGCTGTTTCGCTGACAATCACATACACTGTTAAATTAATTGGGTCCAGTGCACCATGCTAATGCAAGCCCATTGTGGATGTGAGTAAATGCATAAAGGTTACCAACTAAGTGCGCTGCAAGCGTCGATGTTTCACCAGGGTGGCAAATATTTTTAGAGTGCACAGGTTAGGGAAGATGTTCATTAGATATACATTCCGCATTGAGATTAACATTTACAAGGTAAGGACCGTGTTCCTATCAGAGACACAATCCTTTCCAGCACTCAGCTCATTGTTTTTATTATTTAAGCACATATCTATGCACTGGTTTTGTAGGATTACAGGCATTTGTTATTCCCAATAATACATCAATCCTCCATTCCATCTGTTTGTGCTCAGAGTCTTGAATGTCCCCAGCAACTGCTTCTAACTAATCTGATATTCTCACAGTTACCTAGCACATTGTGTATTCCCATCTGGCCTTATAGTCATTCTGACAACCAACTCCCAATGGACTCTCCAATTGGTCACAGTCCTCCAAGCTTTGTTCAGTTGTTAACCTTTCTCCTGCTGAAAATATATTATTCTCTCTACAGCTCCTCTCTAACCACAGACAACACCAACATGGATATGTTTAAAGCATTCATTGTAGTGTATAATGCTAATTGCTGTTACGTCAATACCTTATCCTAAATATATCATTGTTTTAAATATTATTTATGTTTAACTGTC